CAGCCCATAAAATAACCATACCTTTAAAACTCACGCACATATACACTTAAAAAAAAAAAAAAAAAAAACACACACAATATATATATATATATATATATATATATATATATATATATATATATATATCTATCTCCCCATAACATTATTTCCCAAACAGATGAATGTAAATTTATAATAGTGTAAAAGTTGACATAACCAAGTTTCAAATCCTAAGAAGGAGAAAATTATCTGCAGACATCAAGTTATACAAAGATTTGAGAAATAATGACAGGTAAGGTGTGTCTAACTATCAATATTTGAGTAATTATAATAATTATTGAATATGTTTCTAGATTGTTCTGTAACGTCATAAAAGGTGATTCTTTTTGATAATTCCTCATTCTATGCCTGAACATTGCAGAGCCAGTACTAAATAGGGACAAGACCAGATAGTACTAGACATGGTCAGCCAAAAAGAACAATTTACCAACCTCCACCTCTGGATTAAATAAAGGATTCAGTTTCAAATTCCCTGGGGATTACCTGTATTGACACGCATCTGATGAAGGCTGGAATGCACATGGGCTGAGACATTGTGGTAACAAAGATGAAAACAATAATTCATGTGTAAATTATATTAAGTATTGCAGAGACAGCATCTCTACCATTCCAAAGATGCATTCTGTTAGGTAGTTATGAACAGTATTATGAAAGAACAAAGGAAAAGACTACAGGAAGTTTTGGTTGATAACGTGACCTCAACCATTGCAGTTGAAACATACCAGAAGATATTTAACATGCTGCAGCAGGAGGCAACACAAAAAATACCATTCTCATCAAGTACTATTAATAAAGAATCAGTACACATTAACTTTGTCAACAAGCATATGAAAAAAGATTATACCTATTTCAATACTATTTCGTTTTCAGATGAGACCAAAGTTGACAATAACTAAACTAGTACTCTGTGTGTGTGTGTGTGTGTGGGGAGGGGGGATTGAACAAAGTTTATGATCTAAGGAACACTATAGCCACTGAAGCATGGATTTTCCTTTTTTTTAAATTATTTCACATCAAGGAAGGCAATAAAGTCACTAAGTACCAAGAGGTTACTGAGTGTGAAAGAATATGAGAAAAAGAAAAATATTAAGGAAAGAGAACAAAAAAAGAAAAAAAAAAACAGGAATTAAGAAAACAGAAGATAACTGAATTTAAATTTTTGAAGATCATATTTGACTGGAAAGCAAGAAACCAGAAGAGATACATAATCATGAAGTGTGAAAGAAAAAATGTAACATAAAACTTAGTTACATTTAGCCATTTCAGCTGTAAGATGATGAGACCTAGCTGCCAATCTAGTACTGCACTTAAATTTGTTAAAATCAAGGTACAAAAGAGGAAAGCTCATCAAAACAATTACTGTGAAAATATTTATAGAAAAGACACAGGGAAGTGGTGACGGGAAAATGACTGAAGATGAGACGTCAGAACCAATAACTGAACTTTATCAAGAATCTCTAAATACATAGCAGAAGCACCAGTCCAGATGTGGCAGTAATATTCAATACATGGACGATGGTTGACTTAAACGTTCAAAAGAGATAAATTCTGGCAAGAAAAATGTCTAACAGGACACAGTGAACAAATGTTAGCCTGAGAAACAATGATTCACTCTCTTGGAGGTTAGCATTAGCCATGCTAACAGAAAGCAAAAAAAAAGAAAAGAAAAAAAAAAGGTTCTCTAAAACAATTAAGAGAGGACAGTTTAGAGGTAGTAGTATCATGCTGTGGATGTGGACATGTTTTTTTTGTTTTTTTTATCTATGGATACAGATGTTCACATCACTAAAAGAACTAGGTCAACTATCAAGCAATTCTGGAAGAACAGGCCATCTTCTGTTAGAAAATTCAATATGAGGCTGGGTGTTTTAACAGTACAACAATCCCAAACACATATCACTGGAGGTTTAAATGACAAAGAAGCATATTAATGTTCTTGAGTGGCCTAGGCAATCACCATATCTGAAATTGATAACTTTATGGAAAGAGCAGAAGAATTCACTATTCTGACGTTGACTCAAATGAATGGTTAAAAAAATGAAAAAATATTACCTGAAAATTCAGTATACTTTTGTGATAATTTTCTAATTCCTAGCATTTGAACCTTAATACATGCCAAACTTCAAATTGCTGTGATTAATATGCATTTATTCGAGAAAAACTTTGCATGTTGTAGATATTTATTTTAACCAAATCCATGGTATCTCACTTCAATTGGAGGTATCCCTCCCTGAGTGAGCAGGTCTTCAGGCGTGTAGCCATAAACACACTTGGCCAATTAGGAGTTGGTGAAGCTATTTAACATAGTTGGAGGTTTTGAATTCAGAGTTGTCCTTCTCCTAGTCAGGTTGCCAAGGTTATAGGACCCAACCTGTCCTGCTATTTACCCATAGCTGGGGGAAGAAGAGACAGATTCAAACCTTTCCCAAGGGTATTTGTATGTAAGTGAATACAACAATATATATATATATATATTATTATCAATATATATATATATATATATATATATATATATATATATATATATAGATAATACCATTTATATATATATATATATATAATACATATATATATATATATATAATACTCATATATATATATATATATATATATATAATTCCATATATATATA